GGAGAACCCACGCAAACACGGGAACATGCAAAGTCTGCACAGAAAGACCCCGGCTCAGGACCTTCTTGCTGTGAGGCAACAGTGCTAACCATCGTGCTGCCTTTTCATAAATGCAAACAAAAATACAAACTGAACTTCATACAGGCTGCCTACAATCACATACCAACAGATATGCAAACATACTAATAATAATGGAAAATAGTGATATCCAGTCGAGCAGTCAATGAATTACATAAATAAGCTAGTTTAGGCTTTTATTCTTTCTGCACAGCACTACCCTCAGTATCCTTTAATTATACTACAGAGACTTTTAAAGACAACTTTAGTCCTGTATTGGCTAGTCCAATATAGTCCAGTTGTCTTTAAGCCTTTTGCAAATATTTTTTTAATGCGTCATGAGATTTGATTTGATGATATCAGTCATAATGTTATTATTATATATTATGCCTCATATATGTAAATATTTATATATACAGTGATGGGAATAACGGTGTTACTTCTTTCAGTAACAAGTAATCTAACTAATTACTCCAGGTTATACTTGGCACAGATGTTTCTGTACACTATGCATGCCACTTTGTTATGGCTTTCCATGTATGCCCTGCCTGCTAGCATCTTGCACCCTGCTGTTATGAGCTGGATTGTCTCAGGGGCATCTTTACACAGCCTGCACCTGGGGTCCTACCTGGTGTGATTGACCCCAGCCTCTATGGATCTCGTGCTCAGAGCTTGTTCCTGTGCTGCCATGATTAGTGCCTCTGTGCTGTCTTTCAGTCCAGCATTGTCCAGCCACTGGTAGGATTTCTAGATATCAGCCACCTCCCATATATGTATATGTATATTTGATGCATAAAAATAACAGATATTGCTACCCGTATTTCTATGCTTGCACAAGCGTACTTACCAATGACTGTAAAAACAATCTTTTCTACAGTCATTGGTACATTGGTACTTACATTGACGTCGATTTAGTATGTTTTGGCGTCATCTGCCGGCGGTCACTGTCTGCAGTATCTGTATCCCATAGACACCTGAGGTCACGAGGACGATTTTTTAAAAACTTAGACCTAGTTGCTAACACACGGTATACACATAATTATTTTGTTTGTTTGTTGTTTTGTTGTTTTGTTTTTACAGCTTAATACTTATGTTTTCAAGCGAGGTTTGTTTAGGTTGACTAAACTGCTACCTCGCTTAAAAGAAATACATTTCCCATAATGCTTCAAATCATCAACTGCGCCTGCTCGTCTTGTAGTCTGGAAAAATGGCGGCACTCCTGCAACAGGAGTTGGAGGCTTCCGAACTAGCCAAGCTACCAAAAACAATTCAAAGTAAACTCGAGAAAATTGTTTGTGATCTGCGGTATGAAATCGATTCATTAAAAGCCCAACACGAGCAATTCCGGGTTGACAGCGGTAAGTTATTCCCTGTTATCCTGATAGCTAGCTGTGCTAAAGTGTTTGGCTTTGCTTACAGTGCATGCATGCCCGTTTTAAACCGTGCAATGTTAAACCTCAGAAGTTTGAACGTACTGAACATACTAACCGTCCTTTGTTTGTTACTTCATTTGCCCGTCAGGGGCTTTAAAATGTTGATTAAAGCTAACAGGCGATGAACCTGCGCTTTTCCAATAACAAGAATGAGATGCTAGCTAATGCTAGCACTAGTTAACCCTCTGAGCTAACCACTGCTTTTGATAGCAAACAAGATGCAAATAAAGCAAGAAGGCGATGATTCTATCTTCTTGTCTTAGCTGTTTTTGTTTACCTTCTTGTTACAGAACAACAGTTCTTCGAAAAAGTTAAACAGCTTTCCCAATGTCAAGAAGACTTTCTGTCTCACACTCAAGAACATCTTAAACTCAAAGATGAGTTTAACAGACTTGGTGAGAATAATATATTTAGGTTTTCTGATCGGACTCGGACTGATTCCACTCATGACTCCACAATGTTGACCTTTATTCTTTCTGCT